ACCTACCCAGTTTCAGCCACCCCTCAATGCCTCAATCGTAAACCCCCCCCAAACTCCCTAAACCCTAAACTCCCTAAACCCTGAACTTCCTAAACCCTAAACTCCCTAAAAACCCTAAGCTCCCTAAACCCTAAACTCCCTAAACTGTAAACTCCCTAAGACCCTAAACTCCCTAAAAACCCTAAACCCTAAACTCCCTAAACCCTAAACAAAACCCCCAAACCCTAAACCCCAAACCCTAAACTCCCTAAACTCCCTAAACCCTAAACTCCCTAAACCCCATAAACCCTAAACCCTAATCCGCCAGGCCACAGTGCCACGGCTTCTGGCCATCGGTTTCTTCGTCCAAGAGCTGACGCTGTGGAGCTGTGAAGCATGCTGGTCTCCTCCTCTGCGGGTTTTGGGTTCAGAGGTTTTAGGGTTTAGGGTCTAGGTTTAGGGTTTAGGGTATAGGGTTTAGGGTTTAGGGTTTAGGGTTTAGGGTTTAGGGCCCTAAACCCTGAGGCTCTAAGGGCTTTAGGGGTTTAGGGGTTTAGGGGTTTAGGGGTTTAGAGCTCATAGGTTTTAGGGTTTAGGGTCTAGGGTTGGGGGCTTTGGGGCTTTAGGATTACTATAACCCTCTGCGCTTCGAGGTGAACCGTTAGGGATTCTTTTTCGGGGTTTAGGGCTCTAAGGACTCATTGTTTATGGCTTTTGGGTATTTTCAGGCTTTTGGGTTTAGGGGGGTTTATAACTCTGAGGCTCTAAGGACTCATATTTTAAGGCTTCTGGGCCCAAAGACCATACCATATAAGGCTTTTGGGCTACTTTGAGCCCTAGGGTAAGTGAACCGGAAGAAGCCTTTAAGGCCATGTTAGGTCTAGAGGGTTGCGATAAGTTTAGGGTTTAGGGTTTAGGGTTTAGGGTTTAGGGTTACTGCCATGTTACACCCTGAGCCCCATGTATGTCCTGAGCCCTACATTACACAAACCAACCTGTTTAGGTCACTATTCGAGGAATCACAGCGAGGAGCCCCATAAATAAAGGCATGTTTCTTCTTCAGGCAGATCCCAGAGCCCCATAAACCTGACATGTCTAAAGCCTCGAAGGCCACAAGTTTGCGCCTTAAGACAATCGATTAGTACTGTTGATGATATAAATCCTGCATTACCTTAATTAAGGACCCTAAAACTATGGGAATTATGGCATATTCCTTATTATGGATAATGCAGACTTATACCATCAAACGTACAAGCCATACAGTCGAAGTCCCCAGTATGACTCCGTCCCTATTATGGCATCAACCGTAGTTCCCTAAACCCTAAACCCTAAACCCTAAACCCTAAACCCTTCGTCCTCCCAGTCGGGTTTACTTCACTTACGGCTCATGGCTCGGGGCTGAGGTTGCCAGGGCTGCGGGTAAAAAGATATCGGCTTCAAGGCTTTAGGGATTTAGGGTTTAGGGTTTAGGGTTCAGGGGTTTAGGGTTTAAGGGTTTAGGGATTTAGGGTTTAGGGTTCAGGGGTTTAGAGTTTAAGGGTTTAGGGATTTAGGGTTTCGGGTTTAGGGGTTTAGGGTTTAGGGTTGAGGTTTTCTTGTTACTCTCGGCAATAGAACGGTGCAGAGATGAGCCTTTGGATTTCTTGACGGGGGCACCTAAGGTATGGAAACCCGAGGTGTGTGGCATCAGAGAGAGATGTTTGTTCAACCTTTTTTTGAAACCGGACTTGATGACTGCCGAAACCCTAAAACCTAAACCCTAAACCACTAAATCCTAAAACCCTAAACCCTAATCGAACGCTGCAGAAACCCTAAAGCCTACACCCTAAAACCCTAAACCCCTAAACCCTAAATCCCGAAACCCTAAACCCTAAAGCCTAAACCCCTAAACCCGTTGCTTTCTGGCGAAGCTTTGAAGCTCTGAGACCCCCAGCAAGGCCGGTGGCTTTGGTCACCATGAGAAGGTTCAAGGCTCGGTCCTGAACTAGACTTTGAAGTAACCAGGGAGAAAAAAGTATAGACTTTAATTTCATAATGGTTCGCTTAAGGAACAGGTCCCCCAAAAAAGTATTCAAGTATGGTACTCCAGAACCCAGTGAAGCTGTCACAAGCCCTAAGGCTCTAAGGGCTTTAGGGTTTAGGGATTTAAGGGTTTGGGGTTCATATGAAGCTGTCACAAACCCTAAGGCTCTAAGGGCTTTAGGGTTTAGGGATTTAAGGGTTTGGGGTTCATAGGTTTTAGGGTTTAGGGTCTAGGTTTAGGGTTTAGGGGCTTTAGGGCTTTGGGATTACTATAGGTCTAAGGCTCTGAGGACTCATACTTTAAGGCTTTTGGGTACTTTAAGGCTTTTGGGTTTGGGGGGGTCACAGGGCTAGGGTTTATGGTTTGGGGTTTAGGGTTTCAGGAAACCTGATAGAAACCCTTAGAGGAGCCCTTGGAGGAATCCTTTACGGGAATAAGGGTTGATTGCCCTAAGGCTCTGAGGACTCATGTTTTAAGGCTTGTGGGCCCAAAGACCATGCTACATAAGGCTTTTGAATGATTTTGAGCCTTAGGGAAACAGTACTCCACGGCTTTGGGTTTAGGGATGTTTCGGCGCTCACACTCGGATGATGATTGGGGGATGAATAGGGATGTTTAGGGTATAGACTAGATTTTGGGGTTGACGGCTCAACTCCTCTTTTAGTTGGTGCCGCGCCTATCGTAGCAGGGGTCTTCAACTGCAACATCTTCGGTAGCACTGATGAAGTTCACATCCTTTACTTTGCCAGAAACACCCCTAAGCACCCTAAATGCTATGCTGCACAACTCTAGACTATAGGGTGTCAACCACAAAACATTCGTCCGGGAATCACGGAAACAACACTTCGATTCGAGCGGTTTAAGGCTGCGGTATGGCCCGGCTGTGAAAAGGTTTAGGGTTGGGGGGCTTGAGGTTCAAGTTAGCTTACAAGATTGATTACTGGTTCCCTGTTGGGGCTATATTAGAAACCATCATTGTTAATCTTTATTGGTCTCTATTATAACAAACCTGTAAAGTTGTGTCCAACAAGGACCCCGATTATTGTTCATCTTGCTCCCGAGTCCACGTGCATTTGTCAAGGGCCCTCGAAGGATCCAGGTTCGCAACTTTTTGGATCAGGAGCCGCTAAGGACTAGGTAGTTAAGGATTCTATACTACCCACTGGCTTTGCAGCTTAGCCGTCCAGCGTTGATTTCGCAATTCAGTGCTGGCTGTTCAGGGTTTTGAGCTTCGGGGTAGGGGTTTGGGGTTTCAAGGTTACGGGTTCTCGCGCACACGCACAAGGCAGGTCCGCATTCAGGCAGCACGTGCAACTACAACAGGCTTGCTTCCGTGACATGCGAAGTTTAGCAATGCACGCAGACGCAAAACCACCAAAGACAACAGACGATGGAAGAACCTTAAACCATAAACCACTCGACACACGGGCAGCTTTCGGTTTCGGATTTAGGGCTTGAGGGTTTTAGGGTAAGTAGGCTGTTGAAAGGATGTTTACCAGGGGTGAATTTGTACATCAGCTTGTCAATACCGAGCACAGGGCTTTGTAGAGGTGCAGTCTGGTGCTTCGGAGGCGTCTGGCTAAATAGCAGCAATGTGACATCTAATTGAAGGTTGTTCTGCCTGCCCCACTCCTGTAGCCGGATACTACTTGCCATGTAACGGTCTTATCCAGGTTCTTGGTTATGCCTCAACCCTAAATCCTTAATCCTTAACTAACTGTAACCCTATATCCTAAGCCCCAAACCCTAAACCCTAAACCCCTAAACCCTAAACTGCAACCCTGAACCCCTCGCGTGAAGATCTTTGGACACATTTGCTCGTGATTCTCGGCCAAGCCTACACCACAAGCCCTGAATTTTATACGGGTTTCGGGATTGGGGTCACAGGGTTATAGAGCTTATAGGATTTAGGGTTGATGCCGCAAGACCCTAAACCCTAAACCCTTAACCCTAAACCCTAAACCCTGAAGACCCTAATTTCCAAATCCGAAAGCCCAAACCTGAAGCCCTGCACCCCAGACCCTGCTTTGCATCTTCCACGGATGGCCGGCATGGGAGTCTGTTCATACTACTGATGATATAAAACCTGCATTCCCTTAAGGACCCTCAACTACCGGAAATATGGAATGTTCCTAAATATTTTTTTGTACTGCAGGATTTATATCACCAACCGTATGTCTAGTCTTCTCTATCTAGAAGACTTGGCCTATGGCAGGTTCTAGACCACAAGAATCATTACGGCGTGCAGCAGAGTTCAGCTGCTGTTTTAGTTTGCTTCTTCGGGCATTGTTTCCTGAGTGCAGGAGCTCCCAAAAACCGGGCAGCTAATTCCCAGGGTTGTATGTAACAACAACATCGTACACCTGGCTATATCCAGCATCACCACATGAAAAGTACACTGTCCGTAAAAGGTACACAGGTAAGCACTGTAAGCAACCATGAAAAAGTAGATCATCATACAACACAAACGAAGTAAATCGGTTATATTTGTCGATGTGTAGGCATACATTTATGTGTATGCATCTGTTTGCTTTTAATTCATGGATGTATCGTATAGTTTGGATTCACCGCTTGTTGGCCCAGCACCCCAGGCATGCCGTCTCGTATTTATATACCCGCATGAAAGACAAACAGTGTCAGGTCAGTCAATATTGGCTCACTGTATGTTTGTGCACATGCATGCCTAGACGAGTTGGTGTCTAAATAGTTGGTGTCTAGCTGGATACGGAGACAAAGATACATCGCTAGGAACGTACCAATTCTGAATGAGCAGCTTTTTCCCCGCACATGGCCATCCCCGCCCATACAATGACTGAAGAGAGTGCACAGCGGGAGCTCGATCAAGGCCCGCCATGCGCAATAAGATTTCGGATGCACTGTCAGCCATCCTGGAAGCTTGCTAGAACTAGAGAGAGCGTCATGTGGAGTCCCAGAGGCTCCCTGCTCCCTACCCCATAACTTGCGAACATCAGCAGAAGACATCATTCAGTTGTCTGCACTACATGGTGGCACGAAGTCTCTTTGCATCTGGTCCTTCCAGAGATCCACCCTCTCTGGTGGTGGCCATGGAAGCGAAAAATGCCTTGAGGGGCTTTGGATCCCTAAACCCTAAACC